TAGACTGGGTTCAATTTCAGCAAGACAAAGCTCCGTGTCACAAACCAGCGACTACGATGCGTCGGTTTAGAGATAACAACATTGTTTTATTAGTGATGATACCAATGTTGTTTCTGTGAAGAAGATTCCTCTCACTTTTCCAAATGCTCAATCCATTTGTTGTATTTTATGAATCTCATGAGATGCAAGCGTTTTTAAGCGATCGAAGAAAATATTTCCGAGAAATCGATAATGGAAAGCACTGAGAGGTGGTCAGTGGCAGAAAAGTTATTTGAAAACCTTCATCCTTCTACCATGAGTCCCACAACATGGCGGTTGTTGTGCTTATAGAGGAGGAGTAAAGTAAATCTAGTTCCTTTCACTTCGGTCTGGTGAAGGCTAACAAATACTTAACCTAGGAAAGGGGTATGAATACATCCTGTGCAAAGTTTACTGGGGTCATAATTGTTCGGTCAGTATTTTCCCCGGGGTGTCCCTATAATCGGATTGTTAAACAATGAACGTATGGCAATAAGCGAGACAATCTCTAAGTCTTTGTTTCCAAAAAAAAGTATGAAATGACAATTTTATTTATAAAATAAAAAAAGGGTTCTTGCAAATTCCTTTCTTACTTCGGCTTGAGACAAATATTTTAATAGATTCATCTGCCAACCCAAATCTCCAAGTTAAATATTTCATAGGTGGCAAGGTCAAAAAATTCCATTTTAATTTTTTCAATTTCGATATCAATTTATTCAGTCAATCATTTACAAAACCTCTGTAATGTAAGAATAAGTTCTTTTTGCTCAAAGCAAATAGCAAGTCTCCTTCTTCTTTATCGGCATTGGCACCGCTTACGTGATTATTGCCGAATTAATTATAGCTCGCCATTCATCTCTTTTTGGTGCTGTTTGGCGCCAGTTGGAAGTACCAATGGAGGCCAGATCACTCTCCGCCAGATCCTTTCAACGGAGTAGAGGACTTCTACTTCCTCTGCTTCCACCTCCGGGTACTGCATCGTATACTTTCAAAGCTGGAGTGCTTTCATCCATTCGGACGACATGACCTAGCCAGCGTAGCAGCTCTCACTTCATTCGCTGAACTACATCAATATCATCGTTCTATCGCCTGCAGTATTCGCCGTTGCCAATGAGCAAATGACTTTACTTTTTAATTGCCTTCCAATCCAAAGTAACACCTGTTGGCAACAATGACATTACTGTCGGTATTAATACGAAGAATTATCTGCGCCTTTAGAGTTGCGCCTGTCGACAGTAACGTGGAAGCTGAGTCGTGAATGCGATGACGGCAGATATTTCGCTTGCCCTTGTTCACTGCCAGACTCATACTATCGCTTCCTTATCCAGTCTGGATCGTCGGGCATGCTTTCCTCCGACCATATTTGGCAAAGAAGCTAATGTGTGTGCCTTACTCGTTCCACACCCACGTATTTGCATAGCTTGACCGGCAATCCATCGGCCCCCGCCGTTTTATTTTGCAAGCGGGCTATTGCTATTCGAACCTCTCCGTCGGGTAACGAAACGTCTTTTCCATAGGTTAGGGTTGGTATTTCGGGTTTAGTATCTCCTGGCGTTTCATTATTATTGTCATTCAGCAGGTAGGAAAATTGTTCTCTCAATTAATTAAGTGTACTCTGGGTATCAGCCGTATAGTGGTCGGTAGCAGCGTTGCAAGGTGGGCAGCCTGCTTTCTCTCCACTGCGGCTCGGCAAACCTCATAGTATCAACTGTATTTGTGATGTTTCCGAAAATCAATAGTTTCGTTTGTAGCTGTACGTAGGAAGCCTGAAATTCCGTCCGACAGTTTCTTAACACCGATATGATGTCAGGAAGTAGGAGAGCAGGTCGAGCCGTTCGACTGGCTGTTGGGAATGCAGCTTTCTGACTTCGAACGTTTGAAGATGCGCTTAAAGCCTTTCCAAGGCTATATCTCCGAAACTCTTATTGGGATCGACTTAAAATTTAAGATAATATTCTCAAGATGGTAATATGAGAAACAAAAAATTTTATTTTCATAAGTCATAAACTAAAATTTTACCAAGTAAAGCTTGCCCTTATGGTCTTCTCAATTGGCAACCAATCGCTAAGAAATTTTTATAGTCATGTTGTTGTTGCTAAATTTGATTTTGTTTGTTGGTACATTAAATACCATTTATCGTTCAAATAAAATTCGGCCATTTCGACATTTACAATAAAGTCGTTTGTTGTCCTACAAATTAACATTCATGACATGTCCTGCTTGAGTTCGGCCAAGACACACATGCATATGCACATATTTGCCCACAAGTAAGTCACACGGGACCAGACGAAGTCGCAGACGAACATGTGTATCGACCGTGTATGGGTTGTTGTGTTGTCACAATTTCCAAAAAGCAGTTACAATTATGTCCTTGCAAGGAAATGAAGGAGTGCACACTTGAATCTGAAGTTGGCAGTTGTCAGAAGTTGTCGAACAGAGTGGAAGATTGATGATGATATTAAAATTTTTGACGTCCAACCTATACATAAGTGGCACTATGTAACCGCTGAAGGGAGTTTTGGCCGAGTTCCTCCTCTAATTTGCGTTTTTGCGTTGATGTTTTCCAACAAATGGACGTGTTGCAGATTTTTCTTAGCCGCCTCCAAACGACCGATGGATTTATATAAAAAGCTTTTATCTCAATAAGTCGCCGGGAATGTCCGAGTGTATTTCTGATATAACATAAAATCCTCATAAAAATTTATTGGCCATTTGGATTCAACTTAGAATTCAAACCCATGACCGACCCTCCGCACTGCTTACCTCTCGACAATTGCGGCGTCGGGATAATTGTGATACCACAAAAAATTTTCTCGGATCTTACAACTCTTCTCCATGCACATTGAGGGTTGAGTTGAGTTAACCCGACTGCTGGTCAACCCCAGCACACTTAGGCTAATCTCAAATGATCGAATCATTTCGTGGGCCTTATAAATGCAACGAGGCTAACTCAGCGAAGTAGTCAAAGAAGTGTTTCTCAAGAAACTTGTGCCGCGCGGATGTCAAGACTGGACAGTGGCAGAGGTAGGGCTCGATGGTCTCCTCCTCTTCTTCGTCCCTACAGCTGCGTCTGAAATTTTTGAGTGAAGCCCCATTAGACAGTGTCCAGTTATTATACCAGTCGTGATGTTAAGGGAGGACCGGTCCAGAAGGATAAGATGTCTAGATTTTTTCGCGTCCAGCTTAGGCCAAAGCTGTCTGGTCACTTTAGACGTGATCTGGTCCAACCATCGCGAGTCAGCTTCCCTGGTGAAAGCCTGTTTAAGCATATATTTAGTCGTGGCCAGAGGTAAACCAGCATCGTCTGCGTGTTTTATCGTATCCATGCACCCTGACTCAGTTATAAGTTCTATGTTATCGATTGTTTCTGTCACACGACAAATACTTTATGAATAAAAGACTCCAAAACGCCGAAAGATGCTTTGGAATGTCTTCTTTTTTCAGAGAATATTAACTCTTCACTTTTCTCCGGTCTTATTTCAGTGACAGACGGAAATTTTTTTCTTTAAATCTCACCAATAGATAATTGGCGTAGGCAGAAAAAATGAGTTCAACGCATGAGCACATGCATCAGAGTACACCCCATCAAGGTTTCTGGATACCTGATATGCCCTTTAAGCTAGCGGTCACTGTTCTCTTATTAGGTAGCTGAGTTATGAAGTCAACCGGTAGAGTATTCGCCCTCTCCATGGCACAGAGTGCGAGAAGAGTTTCACACCACTTAATGCTCACACTCGGATAATTTAAGCCCTCATCCACAATAGACTCTGAGCACAATCTATTCTGATCAAACCCGCCGCGCTATTATTGGGCATGGTGGGTTCGTATTACCGTCGGGCTCGAAGAAGGAGAGGTCACAGCTTCAAGTCCAAGCACATTAAACAAAGGTTTCTACAGGTATCCTCGAAACGCTGTTGTTTCATTTCTATATAACGAAGCTCCTTCCACTACCCGAGAGTCCTTCCTTGATCTTATACGTCGATGACTGTTCGATACTGGTTTCTGGCTAGTATACTGGTTGATGAAAGGTAAACTGCTATATCTCCAACCCTTTTAACTTCTTCATTTTTTTACCCTTTGGACGAAGAAGCACCAACCGAACTGTATGTCCAAATTCTGACGGGAAAGTAAACAAAGTATAGTGTCTCAACAAAATCTCCAACACACTAGCCAGCAGAACCGGTGAAATAGGCAAGAAACGTTACTCGCAAACTTACAATGCACTCAGCCAGCCGGTCATAAAATACGCCACATTCATTTACACACCAGTGCTAGAGGGATACAGATGAAAAAACTAAAAAGTCAGTCAGAACATATATTGAGGACCATAGCACGAAACCTGCTGAATTAAACATGCACGCTTCCAGCAAGGAGCATATTATTATGCTGTGTAAGATGTATTTGCTAGGATGCCACAACAGGTATCATCTTAGCAGACACCTGCTGGAAGCTGAACCAGCATCAGGCGCATCAGAAATGGAGTATTTGACTTTACCGGCTACATGCATCACCAAATAGCGGAACCGCTGCAGAGGGCAAGCTGTTTATAAGCTCTAAACACCATTCATGAGTGTTTTGCCAACACCTTTGTTAACTCTCATCCAGTAATCGGACTCCAACCACATTATCACAATGAGCTTCGCGAAACCCGTGCATCACTGACGCAATTGTGATCTGGTTATTGTAGGAGATTAAACTCCTAGTTTGGAAAAAATACTAGAACCCGACATACTTAACATTGACTCTACACGCAAAGAGTCCCTGCATGACAGTAACGACCTCTTTGCGAACTATTCGAAACAGCTCGCAACAACGGCAATTTTTACAATTTATTTATAATTTTCTTTTGAATTTGTAATTTATTTGAAATTATTTGCCTCGTACTAAAATTTAAGTTAGGCAAACACCACTTCACTGTTGAACGGAATCGTCTGTTGTTAACTTTCAACAGACATCTGGCAGGGCTATATTTTGATAGTAGGTTGTGTTGTTATGTAACCTACAGCTGTTTCAGTAGCTAAATAGGAAACTATTTATTTTTCTCGCTTGTTGCATGTGGTAAAGATAATAAGTAGGTTCAAAGTGTTTGTGATCAGTTAAATTTTCCTTTTGTAAATATGTCTGTAAGTTTGCGTTTGGTCACAAAATCCCTTACCAATTTGTTGCCACGATGTGTTGGTGCGAGCCTACCCCAACAAGCCCGAGGAGCAGCATATTATCCAATCAACGATAAATTCTATGGATTAACTGAAGAACAGCAGAAGTTGCGAGAGATTGCATTCAACTTCTTTCAAAAGGAGCTTGCACCATTTGCCAAGGAAATTGACAAACGTGACGAATTTAAGTATGTACTGAACATTTTATAAAGTAACATTTTGTTAATAAAAATGAACTTTGTATCTTTTGAGTTTAGAGATTTACGAGCTTTCTGGAAGAAAATGGGCGATCTTGGCTTTTTAGGCATCACCGCGGAACCGGATTTCGGTGGCACTGGTGGTACTTACCTTGACCATTGCATTATTATGGAGGAAATTTCTAGGTTAGTTTGCACATTGTACCTAATACTTATATGTACATATGTATGTATGTTGTTGAATGACATTCTTTAAATATTCCAGAGCTGCTGGCGGTGTTGCACTCTCCTACGGTGCACATTCAAACCTGTGCGTTAATCAAATAACCAAAAATGGTACAACTGCACAAAAAGAGCAGTATTTACCTAAACTTTGCAGTGGCGAACATATTGGTGGATTGGCAATGTCGGAAACTAGCGCTGGTTCTGATGTCGTTTCAATGAAATTGCGTGCCGAGAAGAAGGGTGATTACTACGTATTAAATGGCAGTAAATTTTGGATTACCAATGGCTCCGATGCGAACACACTAGTTGTATACGCGAAAACTAGAAGCGGCATTGCCGACAAACATGCTATTACAGCATTTATAATTGAAACCGCATGGGATGGTTTCAGCGTAGCACAAAAGCTTGACAAATTGGGTATGCGGGGCAGCAGTACTTGTGAATTGGTATTCCAAGACCTTAAAGTGCCAGTTAAGAATATCTTGGGCGAAGAGCATAAGGGTGTATATGTGCTAATGTCCGGTTTGGATTATGAACGAGCTGTGCTCGCGGCCGGTGCTGTGGGTCTCATGCAAGCTGCAGTTGATATCTCTTTCGATTATGCCCATCAGCGTAAACAAAAGGGTCAAATTATTGGCGAATACCAACTATTGCAGGGCAAAATGGCCGATATGTATACAACGTTAAGCGCTTGCCGTTCTTATTTGTATACTGTTGCGAGTGCTTGTGATAATGGCGAGCGTAGCTCCAAGGATTGTGCTGGTGTTATTTTATATTGTGCTGAGAAGGCCACGAAAGTAGCATTGGATGCAATACAAATACTAGGTGGTAATGGTTATATCAATGATTATCCAACTGGTCGCATTATGCGTGATGCTAAGCTGTATGAAATCGGCGCAGGCACCTCAGAGATTCGTCGTTGGCTGATCGGTCGTCAATTGAATGAGGAATACAAATAGAGGATTTTCGTAGACGTGGCTCGTGCTTCCGCTGTGACTTGTGCCTTATGAAAGCTCAATATTTTTGATTTTTCTGAACGAACAGACTAATAATTGCATTTATTTTTTAAATACTTTTGTATATACATATGTACATACCCTTGATATATACTGAGTTGTAAACTCTGTAAGACTTAAATATTCATATATACATATATAAACGTACATGTGGTGAAGAATATTTTATTTTTAATAATAACATTGACTCAGGCAAGATGAAAATAATAAGATAAATTGGTTTTATTAAAAGACTGAGACGGGCTTTTCAAGTAAACAGTGTAAACTCTTAAAGAAGGAGGCCATAATCGATTTGGGTTATATTTAAGGAGGATCTAAGCAGAGCTCCATAAGATCCCTGTCCTCTCACGACAGCCGGTTCTACGCACCGGAATTGACCCGGATTTTATCCGGCCAAGGGCTGTCACCCTTTCGGCGACCTAACCCCGTTTAGGTCTACAGGTAACCTTAGTCTAAGTTTGTCAACGGAGCAACACCTCGCAGCTGGGTTGCTCCAAATCCTTCTGATCAGGGCTGGTGTAGAAACCAACCCTGGACCGACGGATTACTTCTGCTGCGTGTGTCAAAGAAGACTCCACCACTCATCCACCACGACCCCCATCCCCACCCAGAACCAGCTCCTCATCCTCCTTCCGTGCGAGGGCTACCCAGCAGCTCCTAGTCCGCCGCACCGTTTGTTCCGTGTGTCAGACCATAGTGGGTCGGAACGCGACCTCAGTCAGATGCAACTTCTGCTCTGGCTGGTGTCACTTTCGGACGTGCTCTGGCCTGCGCACCACCCGTGAGTGGAGCGATGCGTACGTTGCCCCATGCTGTAGGAGCCTGCCCCCGCATCTCTCTACAAACCCTCCGCCAATCAACACCAATGTGCGGCAACAACTCTCGCGGGTAGTACAGCAGCAACACACACCATCCACGCATCACTCCCTCACCCCCCCGAATCACGAACGTTTCCCCGAGACAGACCCGACTCCTACAATTCAACTGCAACGGACTCCAGGCAAAGATTGACGAGATAGTCGACTATATGAGCCGGGAGCACCTGTCAATTGCTGCGATCCAGGAAACCAAGTTGGAGGGCTTAGCGTTCATCCTGCACAACACCGTGCAGTATCGTCTCATCGATGGCGACATCGACCGCAGGGATACTACCCTAGAATGTCAGGGTATAGCTATCCGGTCAGGCGATGTCGAGCTCGAAATATTTAGAAGTGGTCTAACGTTTTATGATAGTTCTACTCTTTCTGGCATCACAACGGACATGTTTTATGTGTCTATGTGGGATGAGCTACTGCTGCCACTGCGCAACCACAGTGCGGCCCGACTCAACCCCGAGCTTGTATGGTTAATATTTTCTTTTCGTATCCAGGCTTATTTAAACGGTTCCAAACGGGTTTTTGTAGTCTTTAGCTCTTGGACAATCAAAGCAGTGCTTACATGACGGTCCATGTCCATGATTTTTATCGACATTTTCGACAATTGGCCTTCCACTTAGTGAAGCATCTTTTGCAACAAATCGAAATCACAATTGCGCATGATTGACTATAACGATATTCACCTTTTGAGCACTTTCAATATATCAACCAATCACAAAACTGTAAGAAAAGCTTTTAAATTATAAAATATCATCTTTCTAACGACATCTAGCGGTATCCAATTGGACTTATACAACGCGACTTACAGATAAATAACGCCATCTATTGGAAAAATATTATATTTCCTTTTACTGCACCCACTATCAATTGGCTTCCGTATGGCTGTCTCCCAACGTTAAGCCTTCGAGACTCAGTTTAACTTGTAAGAATTTTTTTTTTTAAGAAAAGAGCACATCCCGCCTAATTCTGTTATTAATACTTATTATATTTATTATACTTGATTTCATTGTACAAAAAATTGTTTTATGCATGAAAAACACACAATTTTTAATAAAAATATTTAGTTCGTTTGAACGTGAGTGGGTGTGAGAACAAAAATAAAAATAAAAACACGTAAAATATATACAAATAAGGCTAATATTGTGCATTTAGCAAAAAGAGGGATCGAACAACAAATTAAGACTACAAAATAATACATTAAAAAAATCACTTATAATTATAAGTAGACAGAAATTTAATTAATCGAGTTATTGGAAAATTACTACTTTTTAGTTTGCTTTTTTGGTTATTAAATAGTTTTTTTTTATACATTTTAAACATTTTTGCAGCTTTTTTACTCAGAAATTCCTTTTAATTAATACAGTATTAATGACTGTTACATATTTAAATAATTTATGTTTATGCTATTACAGGCAACATGTTGGCAAATATTTAATAAAATCGACTGTAAATCGTTGTAGACTTTTGATATTGGAAAAAAAAAAATAATAATAATAATAAAAATGCGACGTTTTAAAAAATACACGAAATCACAAACAAGGATTACAATATAACGGCACAATGCGATTGCAACTACTATGCTTAAATGTTATAATATTTAAATTGTTATTATATAGTTTAAGTTTTAGACGATCAATTAGGCGCAGTAGTTGCATTTCTTTGTCTATTTTTGTTTACGCGGTTTTTGTTTTTTAATATTTTAATATTGTTTTTTTTTTTTTTGTATTTGTTAAATATATCAAAACACTATTATTATTACACACTAAAACCTAAACATCAATGCGTTATTATTATGTTTTTTGTTGTTGTTGTTGTTTATAGATTATTATTATTATTATTTTCATATAAATTAGTACAGTTAAAAGCACTTTTGGCAAATTTCTTAAGCGCCTACAAAAACACTTGCATGCATTTACATTTTGGCAAAATGGCGTTCTTTTTTTTTTTTTTGGTGGCAAACTTGTTAGTGGTGCATGCGAGGGCATTTATGAGCACCAACCAGATGCTTGCCATCATTTACAGTTACATTTGCAAATTACATACATTTATTATGGTTACACATATGCAATATATACATATGTTTATCCATATATATATATATTTTTTTTACTATTATTCGATTCTAAAACTTATATCTACTCCATGCGAAAACTATGCGATTCTGTTTTCTTCTCCGAACGCGTCTCGGTGGTGGTGCTAAATGTTTTCCGTTCCATTACGCGCTGTGTCATCGATGTCAAGCGTTCGGAGCCCTGATCAATGATGCTCACTTTACCGCCATCGGTGCTGAGGGTTAATTGTGAGAAACTGGAGTCCAAAGGTTTTTCAACGGTTTCATTACTCTTTTCATAGTTGCGTGTTTCATATCTGAAAAAAATGCATATATTTTTTAATATTTCATTTTCGGCACGCAAATATTTTATATTAAGGACTGTTTTCATCATCCCCGGTTAAGCACTTAACTATAACTTAGTCGAAAAGTAGCATATAATTCGTTTTCACTATATCCGGTTAAGGCGCATCTGTCAATTAAGTTGCGGTTAACTTAACGCCCACACATTGAGTGGCGATTAGCTCTTAACCAGAAGACAATTGGACAGCTGGTAATTGTAAAATAATAAATAAAATAGTATTCCGGTGTTGGCTTTAAAATAAATTTTATGATGGAAAATATGGAACGCACTGCCTATCTGGCTGCGTTGATTCAAAGGCGTATTTCTAAGGAGGAGGAGAAGCCGCACTGCGACAAATAAATATTGCTGATAATTTATTTCATTTTGCAGGAAGATATTGGCGTCTGGCCAGAATATTGATCATATTTGTTCGAAAGTGAACGGATATCTCAACGACCTGACCAACTTCTTCACTACACTACAGCTCAGAAAACAACCCATCGTATGTTCTGCTTCCCTTTAACTAGACGTAGGAATACAGGCTAGAATTAGATGTGAAGGTCGATGACGTCAAAATTATGTCCATAAATAACACAAACATAGTGGGAGTCACATTTGTAAGTCTGTTCTCCTTCAATCCGCATACCAACGCAATTTCAGCAATATTCTAGAGCCGCAAAAATACAAAAATACTCAAAGCGCCAGCCGCAGCACCTGGCGTAAAGACAAAGAAACCTCGCTGGCAACCTACAAAGCAATTGTACGGCAGTTCGTTAATTATGCTGCACTCATCTGGGCACTTGGGACGAATGAGACGTAGTTGAAGAAGCTACAGACTTGCAGGAACACTGCCCTTAGGACCGCGACAGGAAGTCTTCGAATGTGGCCTGGGTATCCCTTGGACAAAGAAGCATTTATGCTACGTATGACAACGTATGTTATGCATGTAGTGAGTCTACGTACGGCACTAACCACCTCCTTACATGTCCCCTGATACTTACGCATCTAACCCCCTCTCCCGCTGGTCCGAACCCGTCGAAACAATCTCCTGGATCTCTCGTTAGATGACCACGGTGCCCTAAACTAACTAGCCTGTCGCTAAGCATGCCAACAACAAGGAAAAACTGCACACGACGACGTACCGACAGGCATTTCACACCATTCACCGAGAGTTAAGATCTGGATATTACAGTCGACTTAAGTCTGACTAGGAGGGAGACTAGAACACGTTATGCCCAACGCACGAGTATGTCCCGCATGCAATAAGACCCCACACTACAGTAACCATCTCTTTGCGCCATAAACCCCGCTCATCTAACACCCTTTGCCGCTGGTCCGTACCCGTCGAAAAAGCTGTTGTTGACTTAGACTAATCTTGCTTGTTTCTAAGCGGGGTAGAAGAATCCCTACAACAACAACAGCTCGTGTTTCTTATTTTTATTTGTCTAAATGTAGGTAACCTGTTCATTTCAAAAATGGAGACAACAATGTTAGCTAGCGTGGTATAGGTTCAAGAATTTTTCCGCTGTAAGATGTCGTAAGAGGCGACTGAAATCTAAAAGTTCACGCGACATTCGGGTCTTTATACCAGAACAAACCGGATTTTTATCCAGCCAACGACTGTCCCCCTACCGCAACATTACCCAAAAACTACTTTGGGGAATATTTTAATGGTCACAACAAAAACAATAACAACATATATATATGCATTCATTCATTTTATCATATAAGTCCAACTCACCTCGACGTATAACCCTCATAATTTTGACCTGGGTAAGCACCTGCACCGGTTATCTGTACAACACCGCCTTGGCCGAACGTCTTGTCATGCAAATCTTGAACACAAGCTTCCAGTTTACGATTAACACCCGATGACGCTGATTTCTGTGTGGATTGTGGACCCGCCATGGTTGTGGTTGCAGAGGTTTCAAAAGATTGTTGCTGATGATAATTACTATTGTTGGCATTTGCTATAGGTGTAGTAGTAGTAATAGTAGTAGAGGTAGTAGTAAGTAAATGAATACCAACACCATTAGGAAAATTACTGTTAGTACCTAATATACTGCTACCGCCAGCTGCTGTTGGGCTGCCAGGATAGGGACGTGGCACTGCGTTGGCTGTTAGTTTGGGATTAGGTCTGAAGGTACTACCACCACTGTTGCTGCTGTTGATGATGCCGCCCGACCCGGTGGCCGCTTGCATATTGTAGAGTGTGGTCGAGAGTGGTGGTGGTGGCGGTGGCAACTCAATGCTGCCGTTCACATCACCGCCACTGGCATATTGATGGCTTAGCGGTGGCGGTGGTGGTGAAACGGCGGCAGGATGATGGAAGTGCTGCGGATGAGTCGCATAGTTGTAGTGATGCTTCGACTGTTGTTGCTGGCTGTAATAGCTCGGTGAATGGGGCGCATCCGAAGGGTAGCCAGACGGACGATTTAGTGTCTAAATGTTAGGTTTGATTGAAGGAGTTAAAATGATATTTCGTTATTATTGTTAGAAACGTTCATTAGTTCTAGATGTGTGAGAGTTTTCTAAATGATTTTTTTTTCTTTAAATATTAAAAATACAAATTAATGTTAAAATATTTTAATTATGCGCAGCAACGCAATTAAAAAAAATATTATAAATATAAAAATTAAAGTAAATTATACAATAGCAGGCAACACACTTTTATTTAAACTCAACACCAATTGTTCGCCCAATTTAATTTAATTTCTTTTATTAATATTTCATGCAGCATTTTTTTAATTTTTTTTTTTGTATTTTCTTAAATTTTACGCCAGTGTGTTGTCCACTCTCACTCATCAACGAGCGTTTCTTCCTCAATGGTAAGCTACATAAATCGAAATCAAAATATGCAACAGCCAAATATATTATATATGTATATATATATAAGTGAATAAAAAATAAAAATTATAAAGAAAAATTACAAATTTAATCACAATCAGTACATACATTATTTTGACTTTTCTGCAGTGTGCCATAGGTGGAATGCGCATACTCGGTATCACTCTCATCCGTGGCAAAACCTTGTGTCTTCTTCTGCAACGCACGCGCATGCCTAATGGTGATGAGCTTCTGGCGCGCCTCCTCCAATTGTTTCTCCATGCGCAGCACATCCGAACGTGCATTAATCTCCTGTGCCATACCATCAACCATTGAAGTATTAATTTTCAACGTTTTCTCCTCTTCATCCTCGAGACCCTGTTGTGCGGCACGCACCAAATTCTCAGTAGACTTAATAACTTGATTACCAGCCGCTTGTAGGCGTCGACCGGCTTCTGAGTTTGGATTTGATTTCACTTTACATGCGATGAGCAATTGTGCCGTTGAAGCCGCCACCTGCTTGGCTGTCGATATCAGCATTTCTTCAGTGCCTACGCCACGCACCAAATTTTGTGCTGCCTCTACGAGGCTGTGTGTAGCCGCCGCGACCAGACGTGCCGCCGATATTAGACCCTCTGACCATTGGCCATCGTCGGAAGAGGTGAGTGGCCGCCGTGCGACTTTACCTTGATCGATCAATTCACGTTGGGCAGCGTTGGCAGCGCGCACTAACGCTGAAGAGGCAGCCATAATGCCTTTAGCGGCTTCCAGTATCATTTCATCGAATTTCATATTCTCATCCAATTCAATCTAAAGGCAGAAAAATATATTAGTAAATATTTTTTTTGAAATTTTGTAATTTTTTAGGTTAGTTATGTGCAGTTATATATATATATTTTTTTTTCTTGTCGCTTAGTGCAAATTGCATTTAGTAAGCGTCAATTGCGTGCATGAGAAGCCTTTCCTGTTGTGTTAATATGTATATGTGTGTTTAGTAGTATATTAATAATCGCAGTAATAATATGTTTGATTCCTGGGTGAACCGTTTAATGCGACAACCAAGAATATCAAACATATCTCACTGGAACTATTAGCGTTTAGTAGCAGTTTTGGGCAGACACAGTATAAAGCCACCACACACCATTAAATTATGTTCAGTTTTATTAAAAAAAAGCGCTTTTTTACTTAGAAACAAACTTTTTCTCAATATCTTCAGTACAGTTAGACAAGCACATAAAGCACAGTTTCATATTTTATGTATTTACTTAAGTTATTCCATATGCACACCGTTAGTCACCAACACCATTTTATTATATTATTTAAAACTATTTTCCCACACACACACTAGTTCTGCTATTTTGTATGTACATACATACATATATAACTCATAACATACCTTCACATCGGGTTGACGACGTGGACGTAGTGACGCCAACTTCTTGGCAGCCGCATCAATAGACGCCGCAGCACCCAACAATTCATTTTCAGCAATCACAGTCGGATCTTCTGGATCAATCCAATCGGAACCCTTCAGTAAACGTGCCATGGCAACCAAATCGGTTACACTCTTCGCAACACGACGCGATAAATGTACACGATCATCGGCTGAGCAATTGTGTAATATGCCATATAAGAGTTCACGATATGATTCGCCCACCGCAGCACCAGCTTCAAGTGTACGCTGTCGCAGATCTTCAGTTTCAGCACAATTCCATGCTACCGAACGGCATATCAGTAGCATTTCGGATATAGCACGACGTCCCAAATTGGCAGCGGCAACAATATCGGTTTGTAGATTGGAAGCACCGGCGGCCACAGCTTTGGCGGTGGCCAGTGTGACATTCTTAGTGACGCGTATCAAGTCTTCAGGACCGCAATGAGCGCTACCGGGTGGTGGTGGGGAGTGGATAGCCTGTGAGAGGAGGGAAAATGTAAAAAAAAAAATATAATTTTAAATTTAAGGTAATATTAAAAAAGAAGTGAAAATAAAACAAAAATTAATAAAATTAATTTTTTATATGGCAACGGAAATATGAAATCGGTTCACACCAAATTCAAAAAAAAAAAACTTAAAAAAAGAAATTTAAAAAAATTGAAAAAAAAAATTAAAAAATTATTTTAAATAAATTAAAGAATTTTATGAGTTATAAACTAGCATTCCGTAAAAAAAAAGTTAGGAGTGAGCGAAGAGTTGCAAAGAATTGGATTATCTCAACTTTATTAATATAAATAAAGAAAAATAAAAAAAAAATTAACAAAAAAAAGTAAATAATAAAGTAAAGTAAAGTAAAAAACTATTTAAACAAATTCAAGAAAAAAATACAAAATTTAATTTATAATAATCTATATGGGTAAATCGATTTGAAGTTTTATATATTTGAATTTTTTGAAAATATTTACAGCCAAATTGACGTCAAATTGATTGATTTTTTTTTTTATTTCAAAAACACTCTTCATTTTGTATAAATCCACCGAACATTTAAGTAAAAAAAAAAATGTTTTCTAACTTGATTAATATTTTAATACAGATTTAATTTAAAAAGTGAGAGATATGTTAAAATACCATATAATTTACATATAGAAATAAATGACATAATTTTTTTTTCGCTTATTATTAGACCTTTTAGGTATTTTGGGTACAAACTGATGCGATCCGTTCTCAAACGACAACTAGATCCACTTGCAAGCAGTGGCCAAGCTCGGAAGCAGTTACCTATTTTATTGTTTTTTTTTTTGCCTCTAGGGAATTGTACGGATTTGTATTAAGTGAACAGCATTTGGAAGAAAAGTGCAGTTGAAGCCCCTTGCAAGCATATGGAAATTTATGATTAATCTGCGCCGACCGATAAGGCATGCCACAGGGTGGGTTCGTCGTTTCAAAAGTGGTAATTTTAGCGTCGCAGACAAGGACACTCTTTGTTTGAGCAAACTAAAAAGTTTGCAGATGAGGAATGCTGTTAAAACCAGTCGAAGCCATAGATGTAAAGCGTAGAGCTCTGCTTTACTTGAAAAAACAGCCCTAAACGATTGAAAGGCATGACAAGTCGATTTTTCAACATTACAACGTTCGGATCCACATAGGTGTAACGGTAGAAAACTACCGGGGAAACGTGGAAATGGAAAGTCTTATCCAACTCACCGTCTAATTGCTTTTTCGATGGATGCAAAACAATTTGAGGAGTCACCGGTTAGGGTTAAGGCATCGAAGAATGGCTCAATGATTGAATCGAGTACTGAGAGGACTCATTTTTTAGAGATATGGTATTCGAAAATTACCAGAGAAAAAAAGTAATCGCTTCCGACGGACAATACTTTAAACGATTTACTTTTCACTTTTTCTCAACAAAAACGATTGAACACAAAAAACAGACCGAATTATTTTTTGTACACCCAATACATGAAGGTCAATAGTTCGAAATATGTGAGTAACAGGAGAAGAGGTAGACCCTTCAAAATTTTTACAGATCGGGTTAGAATGAAGAGTTGAGTTTTGCATGTAAGATCATAAAGTTTCGTATTCTACACATAAGTAATGCATTACACATTGATACTGAAAATCATCGAAATCAAATCGGTTGTATATTTGCGTAAAAGTCGGTATTCTACAGTCGTATATATGTACGAATAAACATTATCACCGAAAATCAACGAAATCGGAGAACTATATCCTAAAACACCATACAACCGATTTGCTCAGATGCGAGATTTCATACTTAAAATAAAATGATAATAAAATAAAATGAAACATTATAAATATAATATGATCATGAAAGGTATATGAAAACAGCTGTAAATTCTTCTTTTTATTCAACTTACACGTATTTCTTGTGAAATCGCCTCGACAGTGGATTCCATGGCGCGTGTGCCACGTGTATGTTCATCTTCAACAGCTTTAACGGTTTTTAGCAAAGAGGAGACATTTAGCACCATTACCTAAAGGTAAGTTGAAAAAATAAAAAAAAAATTATTAATAAAAATAAAATACATTTAAAACGATTGGAAATACAAATAAGATAATTATAAATAGAAATTTAAAATGTATATTGTTTAATAAAAACTATAATTTATTACTGTTTCATAATGGCCATGGCACTCCATTTATTAAAGTTATTTTCTGTTTTTTTTTTTTTGTAAGAATACCAATGTTAATTATAATTTTAATAATTTAAATAAATGAATAAAGAAAATTCACAGAAATTCTGTTTATATTAGACTAGTTGAATGACAAGATTTTTTTTTAGTTTTATTATTTTTTTAAATTTTTTTTTTTTTAATTATTATTTCCTTAAAATTGAGTTACAAGATCATTTTTGTAGAAAAAAATAGGTATTAGAGTTAGACTAATATTCATGTCTGTATGATTTCCACATTACATGACTTAGTATATATATATGTATATTTAGATATGAAATTGAAATTGCAGATGCTGTTTATAGTACGCGACCAGTTAACTAATATGGATTTAATTAAGTTTTTAAATATAGAAAATACGCTTATTCTCAAAAAAGGCAGTGATAAATTTAATATTTAATTTAATTTCTTTTATGTTAGGTATCGGCTGGTAGATGTAGAAGAAAATAATAAAAATATTATGAAGTGAAAAAACTTGCTTGTTCTTCCTTACATTTCAAAAAATTACAAAAACAAAATACAAGAGAAATAGGTTTTGGCATTTCGAAAGTTCGTTTACACAAACAAAATGCATTGAACGATTTTCGTTTTTGACGTTTCGAAATTATGAGTACACATACAAAATACAAACATATGCAAAAGTGTGTTGAGTAACAAAAATTAATAAAATTTGGATTAGAAAAGCAACAACAGTTGTAGAAAGACAAACCATATAGTAAATTTTTGAAGAGAGTGCAGAAAGTGGCCGAAATTTGAAAAGTTTTGAATATTTCTTGAAAGAAAGTCTGTAAAGAAATTAATACATGAACCCTAATATATTGACCAAAGACAAAATTCGAAAGCCATGGCCTCGAAAGACAGATGCGCGCTCGTATGGTGCTAGTCATCGCGACTAATAGAAGCCAATCACTGAATACAAAAACAGCCTCCGGCCTCCTCGAAGGTCTAAAGTAAAAGTGAGTTGGAACTCATTTCCGGGAAAACCCCACTTTTGTGCAAAAAGATCCTTGTGAAGCGATTGTCTTACACTAGGGCCTATCAAGGAAAATGGCTAAAAAGTGAAGTGACGAAACGAAAATCGATAGCATAGGTCTAGATGACAGAGTATTGCGTATCATCCCAAACGCCTAGCATGTAACTACGTTCATTCAGAAGGCGATCACATATTAGAGTGATGGATGCAATTTCTTGGCATGGCATAGCTTCGCTCGTAAATTACTTCGCTTAATAAAAATGTCATTTATATGTCCACAGCTGTACGTATGTACATATTTTTCATTTTGGAAAACATAAAATTCCAGCCTGGTCGAGGGATTTTTATTTAATATTTTTTAATTAGTTTTAGAAATTACTAGTGCATATTTTCCTGAAAATCTGTGGACATTTACATTTTTTTAAAGCGAGATTATTTATTATGAAACTAACATTTTTATCCGATTGTTTATATAATATTTAGACGTATAAGCGCAGTTTTCCATCTTGGCTGGTTGTCGAACATCGAAATTCGAATTTCTAGTTCATATTAGTTCTATTAGATGACCTGACGGGCAGTGAGATAAAACAACCGGGAGAGCGCAAATTTGACTTTTTTAATAAAACGGTATGTTTTTTGTTTTTATTTTCTACTTTTTTGCTACATAACATAAATATTTAATTATTTGTATTGATTTTATGCAGGTCAATGGTTGAGATTCGGGAAGGGAAGAAATGAAATTGAATAAAAAAAATGGATTAGGGTAGACTAAACGACTGACTTGAAGCCAAAAAGATGAGAAAAACTTCTGAAAACCAAATCAGAATAACTCGAAACTGTTGGTGGGCCTAGCCTATTTGGTATTTAGACCAATATAGAAGAGCTTATCATTGAAAAGTTGGAGTTGAACACAAGTATAGACTTGCAAGAAAAGACGTTATTAGAAGTCAGTTGAATGCACAAGGACTAATGACTTCAGCATTGAAGCAAATAAAGAAAACTTTAAGGAATGAAACCACACAGGATTGAAGGAATCTCTCTCTAGCGAGATTCAACAATCTTTACTCCTCATAAAGAATCGTCGAACCACATCCATCAAATGAAACTCATTAGATCAAACGGAAATTCGTTCGATCAGCTCTTATGACCAGATCGAATGCAAATCATAAATCATAAAGGGCCTATATTTTTTTCCAAAATGAAACTAGAAAATACACGAACAAAAATTATTTGCTGTTAAAAAAAGTATACTATTGAGAGCTCTCCAAATATATATGTATATACACATATATATATTACATATTGAAAATTGTGCTTATCCCTAACCTCTTAAACACATTTCACCCATTTGAAAAAAATATTCTTTGAAAATTTTTCGAGTCATAGCTAAAAATATGATTTTTAAAGAAAATTTCAAGGATTTTTTTTAAATCCAGAAAGAAAGATTATAGTAAAAAAAATTAAATTTAGTGCATTTTTTTTGCTTTCATTTTTCCTTTTTTTCAGTATATGAAAATTGTTATATTTTTGAAACTGCAAGCTTAATTTCATTATTTTTATTTTTCTTCCTTAATTTTCTTCTTCTTTTTTGCTTAATTTTCTTCAAATATTTGGTGAAAGTGTTCCGTGCTTTAAACGCTTTCTAGCGATGCAGTACGTCGAGTTTTCCAAAAATATCAATTAATAATAAAATTCAACGAATCGATACGCACTTCTATCAAGCATTTTTGACATTAATAACTACTTTTGAATTACAACAGCTTGACTAACAGTATTTTTAAGCATTTTTTCCACAATAAAATCAACAGTTTTTACACGTTCAAGTGCTTTTTTGGTGATTTCCAAATATTTTATCAACATTAATTTTTGTTTATTTCCATTACTAAAGTTTACCATAAAAAGCTTTTTATATAGTGCATGAATAATAGGCAGGGTTGTTGGTTTGTGTGATTTCATTTATATAATTTTACTTTAGTCTTTTCTATGCATAGCTATTATGTATGTTTATATGTATTATATATAACAATACCAACTACAAAATTTACAGTGCCAACTATAATTTTCATTTTGTGTGCAATGAAAGCTGTAAATGTAAAGAATAGGTCTTCAAAAAATTATAAAAAAAAAAATTATTAAAAATAAAATTTTTTTTTTAAACTATGGGTTACCAGAATGTAAAGCAAGTCGAGTGCAACAGCATCCGCAAATTCTTACAAGCCAAAATACTATAAAAAATTTATTAATATATAAAATTAACATATTATATTAGTAAGTTGTTTTTGTTTAAGTAAATTAAATAACTAATAATTAGTTTAACCAGCTTCTTTGATTCATTATTCTTATTAGGCATTAAATTTTGATTTTGCGGTGCGTTGTCGATACGATGCTCAAACGTGAAAAAAATTTTCTCCAAAATGTCAAAAAACAATGAGAGGCAGGCGCAGGATTTTTCAGCAGCAGCTGGTTGGATTGTTTGTATATATATATTTTTATTTGCTCTTTTGGCGCTGATAATTTCAAATCGGTGACGTAAGAATGTAGGTATATATTGGATTTTTATTAGTTTTTTTTATATTTTATTTAATTATTTTTACTCCTTTTTTATTTATTTTTTTCTTGTATTTTATATATTTTTTAACTTTTGTATTTATTTAGCTTAATTTTTTTAATTTTTTTTTGTAAATATTTTATTATTTTTTTTTATTTTTATTTTTTTTTTAATTTAAATATTTAATTAATTTTTTTTTTAATTTTTCTTTTATTTAAATTTTTTATTAATTTTGTTTATTTATGTGCGCTTTTTATAAAAATGTTTTTCGCGTTGCTTGGCTTTCGCTTGGGCATGCTTGCTGGCGGCCTAAGAGCTAAGTATACCATAACTTATGATTGATTCGCGTTGTAGCTGACGCTGGCCATATATGTTAGTAGTGCCAGCAGCTGCGGCAGCAGAGGTGCACAATTCTTTAAGCGTCTGTGTATATGTATGTATATAACCCAAGAAGTTTTAATAACAATTTTTGCGGATTTTTTTTTTTTTTTAATTTTTTTCGAATTTTTTTTTTGACGGTACAAATGGGCACACGTACACGTAACAAGTGATTTTGATAAATGTAATGGAAAAAGAGAAAAAGATAAAGGACAATGACAGTATGCGTATAACACTTGTTTATAAATGTGTGTATGTTTCGTATTAAATTTTTAATTAATTATTATTATTTTTATTGAATTCACATTTGACGTAGAGCGTTAATTAGGAAACACAGCGACAGAAATTGCAGCAGCCAAAGACAGTGATAGACGGTGAAGGAGAGTGAGTTTATATATAGAGCAGTATAGTGCGCTACATGTATGCATATATGTAATATATGTGTTTGTACATATATAGTCAGAGTGTCAAAAAGCGTGCAATTCTAAGCGAGTGCCACACGTGCAAGCATATGCCGCAACACGAAGTCAAGGTTATGCCGCGAGGCTACAAAAGCTATCTATGCATTTGGGTTAGAACAAGCTTTTAGCAAGGCTCACAGCAGCGCTGTTTTTTTTTTTACACAGTGTACAGAGATATATTATTTATATTTATATATGTACATATGTTTTAATATACATATTTTTAATAGCCAACGTTGAACAATTTTTTACTTTTCTTATTTTCGGTGCAAAGGTGACACTTAATGGAGACTGAACACAAACAACTAAATAATAAACGAAACACCAAAAGGCAAATATTTACAAAACCGTGGAAAAGAGATTTATCGTAGGCATTATAGGAAAGAAAATAATAAATATAAAAATAATAATTATAAAAAAAAACCAAGCGTTAAAATAAAATTAAATATATTTTTTACAGTTTTTATAAATTACAACCTCACCTTTTACATATAATCGTAGGTAGGGTCTCTTAAAAGTTAATTAATTGCTTTTTATTTATTTATTTATTTTTTCAAAATTAAATGAAGTGCCAAAGCCATTAGATAAATTTATAGAAATATGATTTTAAAGTGTCGGTTATAGTGAATATGACAAAAATGATGTATGCTGTTTCGTGCGTTTAAGTGTTGTATAAATAATATATGCATGATTTTTTTATTTTTTTTAATTTTTTTTTTTTGTGAAAATAATGCTTGTTGATGTGGTACTGTAAATGCAAGATTAATTCAAAAAAATACTTAATGTTTGAAAACAAAGAAAAAAATTGAAAATAAATGCTAAAAATATAAAACTTTTATTTTTAAGAAAAGGAATAATTTTCTAAATAATTAAAATTTCTCTATTATTTTAGCATAAAAACGAAATGCCTCGATGTTTTGATGATACCAGTTTGGAATAAATGATAAAAAATGGATTCTTTAGATGAAAATAAAAGATTTTCCATTAAAAGGTGTTATTTTGAATAGCCTACAATTACGGTAAATAGACACTTTCGAAGCTGTAATTTTTTGACATTTGACTAGTAAAAACTACGCCAGTAATAAAAAATGTGCGATACACGCTTCAACAACGCAACGAAATTGTTAAAATTCATTACAAAAAATTTCATTGAAAAATCATCTTGACTGAAGAGGCCCATTTCCACCTCGTCGGCAATGTCAATAAGCGAGAAATATCTGGGGCTCGGAAAAACTATCTTTGTTATTGAAAAAGGCTTTCTATTCTCAACGTATGACTTGTTGCGGTTTATAGACCTCGGCGGTGTCTTTGGACCTTATTTTTTCGAAAATGAATGGATTACGCTATCGAGAGATCATTAATGATTTTTTATGTAATCGGAATTGGATGGTATTAATCTGGACAACGTTTGCTTTCAACAAGACAGCGTTTCGCGCCACACAAGCAACGCAACCAACGATATTTTAAAGGTTCTGGATCGTATAATCTCTCGTAGCGGTGATCGCAATTGATTACCGATATCTTGTGACTTAACACCTTGCGACTTCTTTCTTTGGGGCGCCGTGAATGATAAGGTCTACGCCAACAAGCAAACGTTGATTCAATACCTCAAGGAATTCGTGAAGCTGTTGAAGGCATACACAAGCTATTTTGCTATTAGGTGTTGGAAAATTTCATAAAAAGGACGCGGGGTCCAGTAATTGTAGCCGCGGCGCCTATTTGGCTGATATTATTTTCCATAATTAACGACATATCTTCATCTTCACATTGAAGTAAATATCTGATATTGGAAAACCCTATATATGTACACATCATATATACATATTTTTATGTGTTACTCGTTAGTGGCTACATTTGTTGTCTACATTTAGGCGGTACAGTAAAAAATAATGCATTATGAGATTTCCTTTCTAAATTGGTGGAGGAGCTCTGCCGAAAATCGTTTCAGCGATTAAAAAGCGCAAATTATATATATTCCATCTTTACCTAACGGGTACTTGGTCCACAACCATACTCCTGACCTGAGGAATGAATGAATGTATTAACTAAGTTTCATCAAAATATCTCAATCTCACTTAAGTTATTATGTACACGGACGAATGGACAGACAAACATGGCAAACTTGATTCGTCTCGTCATTCCATGAAGTTTGATATATGTATGTATAAGTACTATATCTGTGCTAATATCTTTCTCGACTATTTTTTGCCGTTACATACAACTGATAGTTGAACACCCCTGCGGGTTAAGGGGTAAAATTAGGCAACCTTCCGCTGAAGAAGTATAACGCCTTAAAGGCTAAGTCGAACATTGCATATCCGCCTCTCTTCCTGGTTCAACATATTTTCCACAAAAAAATTTTGAAGTTCTTATCCAGCTTCTAGTTCTAGTGATAGTTTTTGCAATGGCACATGCAGTTAAGATGGAACAGACCCGAAATACCAAAAAACACAATAACTACTTATGGATTTATATGTAATATGTATTGTACTAAAATGTTTTTTTTTATTGTTAAAAAATCGTAGCAAATGCAATTTCATTGTAGTGAAAGTTAAATGCGAATTTTCGCTATATAACATATAAGAAAATATCAAATATCAGTGTTTTTTACAACAATAATATTATACGAAAAAGTATTAATGTTAGAAAGTTGAATTTTTGAAAATTCTTAAAAATTGTATTAATAAGAAAAATATTAAAATTAAAAGCACCACAACAACAAAAGCATTGAGATCAAATTGTTTGACAAATAATTGTATTAAAACGATAACTGATTACCGCAGTGTACAAAATATCATGTAAACAAAGTAAGATAAAAAATATAAAAAAAAGTGTAGAGAATTTGGAACTTCACTTACCCTAGCGCTCTCTTTCAAATCTTGCATAGATGGATCATGTATTGGCTTGCCTGAGGCCAACTTAGTGGCATTAATCAAGTCACCCAAAGCGGAAGCAACATCTTTAACGGCATTAATAACCATAACTTGCGAGTCCGGTTGTGTGGAACCGAGACTGCAAGCGCCACGTTTAACAGCTTCGGAGAGTTGTACTGTTGAGCGAAGAATATAGTAAATAGAAATATACAAAAAGGACTTGTAATTAATGCGCTGAACTCACATATGGTAGATACAGCATTTTGTGCTGCATTTGCCAGCTCTTCTTGTGTGCCTGCAGCGCCTGTGACCAACACCTTTGTGTCTTCCACCAAAGCTTTGGCAGTTTGCAGTATATGTTCACGATGATCGGCGAAGGTGCCATCGCCATCCGAATGCAATGTGCCCGCAGTGGCAAACATAATGGTCGTATCAAGATCGCCAATAATGCCAGAGACCGTGTGCGCAGCGTTGATGCATGCTTGTGTGCCGCGCGAACCGGCTTGTAAGGCGGCCAAAACTTGTGCAACCTTCTCGGATACGTCACGTGCATTGCGGGCGATCTCAGTCTGACTGGAAGCATCGTTGGGACGTGCACCGGTAGCGCCCGATTGTATCATTGAGCTCACAGAGCGACCTAAATCTACAACACTCGAACGTATACGCATAGCTACGTCCGGCGTCGAGGTTGTGGTTGAGGCGCCAACTGAGTCCTGTGTCAGTTGGGTGTATTGTTGAGTCATTTCGAGGGCAAGTTGTGGCAACAGCTGAGGTTCGATTGTTGCTTTAGCGTTCATCTCATTAGCGAGACGTGCAATTTCCTTTGCCGACTGTACCATGCGTGTTTGATAGTCAACAAATGAGTCGGAGTAGGAGGCATTCAGCAGAGATTGGCGTTTGTCAGTCAAACGTGTAATGGCACGATTCACTTGTTCCATCAGTCCGGTCACGACACCCATATCAGCGTTGATCTTCTCAACTGTTTCGGTGAGTTCTTGTATAGCTTGGCGCGTGTAATCGATGGATTCGTCCAAATGGGCATGCGCATGCGTCGAACGTGGATTACCGGCGGAGTCTTTGGCAGCCTGCACTAGTGTCACACCGCTCTCCACCACAGACTTTGTTTGATTGATGAGGCTCATCTGTTGGTTGGTGTGCACGATGTGTGTGCAGGCGCCTATGGCGCCATTCACCATTGGTACAATGTAACGTGAGATTTCGCCCACGGCGTGTCCCAATTGCTCGGCATTATTCTTGCCCGCCATGCGTATGGGTTCGAGCTTGTCAATGAGTTCGGCTGCCGAATTCAAAGTCTGACCACTGAAACCGTGTAGATTGTTATCGCGGCGTTGGCTCAGACCCTGTGCGTTTACGGCCATAGCACAGCTATCCAATTCACGGGTGCATGTGTTCAGTGTATGCAACACTTGTTCGCATTGTGCCTGACCAGGCGCCTTTTCTCTTATATTGTCGACCAAGCGTTTCACAGACTCGGAAACAGGTGCCGAAGCATTAGACAATTGCTGCCATACTGGCGGATCATCAGGTGAGAGTGCCAGCGATTTGGCGGCCTTTACCATTTCGATTACGCCATCTATAACACCGCGTCCAGCATTGATAACTGGCTCTTGAGCCTTGCGGCCCTCTGCGGAGATCTTTGCTGGCACCGAGACAAATTCCGGACTAGAAGCATATTGACGCACTGCTTTTACAGACTCCAGGAGAGGCTCTACGAGACGTGCACGTGTCGGTGACGATGGTTCATCCTCAATACTCTTAATTTCCTGTACCAGATTCGAAGTGGCTGTAGCAACTTGTTTGGCCAATACAATAAATTCGTTTTTGGCCACTGGATTGTTGGTATTCATGCTGGCCTGTCGGCATATGGAGCATAAATAACTGGTATGTTTGGCGATTACCGTTAGCGCTGATATCTTTTGCTGTTTTGTGGCCTTGGCACTGCTAACAATCTCGCAATGTTGGCGGATACCTTGATACGCCCAGCTAAGTTGTGCCTGATCAATAATACCCGGACGTCCAGCCACACTACTTGGGTGCGAAACGCCAATTAAATACGCAGCCTGCGCAGATGACTCGATCAAACTGTGTATCGACTCACCAACAGTATTCACCGATTGACCAAAGCCAACGTGATTCGATTGTTTGGCATTGTTAATCATCTCTGAAATAGCGTATCCCAGGTTGCGTGACTTGCCCGTTGCATTCTCAACGCATTCGAAATATCCTTGGTCGTTGATCGGCTCATGAGGATAGTCGAGCATGACACGTAGCCCTTCAATGTTACGGATAGCATTATCGCACTCCTTTTGTCCCGGCGCGGATTGTATGCTGGCATCGACGAGTTTATTTATGCTTTCGATTACACTGCGTGCTGCAGCATGCAAGAGATTTTTGGCGTTCGGTTGGCCCGGATCAGCAGCAATTGACTTGGCGGTGGAGAGTAGGGAACATGATTGAGTGGAGACATTACGTAGACGATCAATCATTTCGGAGCGTACAACCTCATCGGGCGTTTGACCGACCATTTCCATGGAGACAGCCAGCAAGTCACGATAGTTAGTTGCGAAGTTTTGGCTAGTATCGGCTAATTGTGCCGGACTGTCGTACGCCTGCACAATTTGTCCGCTTGCTGCGCTGAGACCCTCCGCAACTTGCTTCAACTCCGACTGCAAAGTGTTGTAGTTACGTTCCGATGGTGGAAATTCGCTCATCGAGAGTATCTCACTCAATTCGCTGACATTACGCAAGGCATTGTCCACCTCACGTTGACCGGGTATGCAGTCGACAGTTTTCGAAAGCGCCGCAGTAACATCGCGACCTGCTTGCGTTAGCGCATCAGTATTGCCAACATTCTGTAGTGTACGCTGGGCTTCTTCGATTAGGCGTGCCGAATGTAATACCACATCGTCGGCACAATCAATAACAGCAGGATTCTTCGTTGTAGCCGCAACCCCATGCACACTCTTCGTGAAGTCACCCAGTGCTAAAGCAGTATCGCGACCAGCTACACCGGCATAGCGACGTTGCTCTTGTATGACAGACGATAGTAGTTGCCTAAGAGCAAGGCCCACATTTTTGGCTGATGTACGCAACTGTTGTGCCGTATTTTCGATAGTCTCGCCGGGTAGTGGACGAATGTTGCCCGATTGCGCGGCCTTACGTGTATCATCCAAGACGTTGTGCAGATTGCGAACCGCCTCCAAGGCTGACTCCAACTCTTGACCGCCGCAAGCCTCGCGTGCACGTTGAGCTGCAGAATTCAACTCAGAAACAGTTTGTCCGAGATACAAAGCGCTCTTCGATAGCTGGGTGGCTGATGGTATATCGGTCACTGTAGGCTGCAAAGCACGTGCGGAACGCGACACTTGTATAGCTGGCTCGATAAATTGTTCAGCCGCTTCAATAAGATTGAGTTGTGCGTTAGGATCATCTGGACTGGAACGAGTAGTCTTTACCGAGGTAACGAGACGTGGTATAGTGTCGGCAGCACGTTTGCAGTCTTGCAACAACTGTTCTTTAATTTGATGGTCATCGCTGTGTTGGACAGCATTCTGCGCTGCGGATATGCATTGCGTAGCAGCCGAAGCAGCTTGTTTGGAGCAGTACTCCAAACGATTTATTAAATTACGCTTCATGGCTGGAGTATTGGCAGTTGTGGTAGTTATTTCGCGCAGTTCTTCCGCGGCACGTCGCAAAGCGTTCTGATTTTCAGTATTCTGTGGATTGCCCGAACAGAGGCGTGCCGCCTCAACCAGTTTTGCTGTAGCATCGGCCAATTGTTTGGCCGCCGAAAGTAAACGACGCTGCATATCCTCGTCCTTTTGCTGATCAGCTTCACCCTTAATGCTCTGTATCAATTGCGCTGTGGCCTGACCCAAAGTCTTGGCATGACGCACCATTTCCTGTGGATCATTGGAAGAAACCAATATATCCGTGCCGATAATAACATTCTCCACCGGACTCATCTCCTGACTCGTGCGACTAGCATATTCGCGCGAGCTCAACTTGACATGATCCAACATATCGCTCAAGCTCTTCGATACATCACGTGCAGCAGCAAGTAAATCATTTTTCAATTTCGGATCGTTTGTGGCATCATTGCAAACCTCACACAGATTATTTACAGCGCGCGCTACATTACGCGCCGCTGCCTCCAATTGCTCACGGCAGGCGGCATTATGCAGTGTAGGCGCAACGACCTTAGCGCAGGCTACCAACTGACTTGTGGCCAGAGCACATTGGCTGGCAGCGCCGATGACACGATTGCGAGACTCTTCATCCTCACAACTGGCTGCGATAGATTTAGCGCGCAACATCAACGCAGCAGTGGTATTAGCCACAGCCTTTGCAAGTGTCAGAAGCATATCATGTAAATCACGATTTTCAGGCACCTCCTCCTCTGCAATGGTGCTGAGCACATGCGTTGTTGCCTCACCCACACGACTGGCGGCATTGATAAGGTTCTGCGATGGTTCTTTGCTCTCCGGTTCGGCGGCTTTCAACAAATCGCTGAAAGCATTGCATAAGTTGCGTGCAGCATCCAGCAAACGATCACCATTGTTGCTATCCTCCATAAGTGCAGCGATCAAACGCACTTCCTTGGTAACTTCCGGTATTGTTTGGGTGATTTGTGAGACCGATGCAGAGATAGCCTCCGTATCAACCTCATCCAGCTGTGATGCGGTAATAATTTGCGCTGTAGCCGCATTCATTGTAGCCACATGACTGGTAACAGCCTGCTTAGAGGTATCCAAAGTGTTCTCACGCCACTCAATGGAACGCAAATCGTTACCCAACTCCTGAATGGGGGCCTAAAGCGGTAAAAGTGATTGAGTTGGAATAAAAATGATGTTTTCTTTCGAATGTTTATACACACTTTCGTTCTAAGCTCCTCATCAGCACGCAAAAGCACATCCTGACCCGCTGAGATGTAGCCAAGTAGAGCGCGTTGCGGCTCGGTAAGATTTACAGAACTTATGCGCACCTCCTTTGTCTATAAAAAAAAAAGTATTCATATGAAAATTAAATAGTTAAAATTAATATTCTTTAGAGAAATTAATATTTTTTGTTTATTTATTATTTATTTTTTAACCTACTTCATAAAATTTCTTTGTTCGACCTTTTCGCAAAAATGCAGCATGAATTAAATGGAATGAAATGATCTTTTATTAGAATTTTAAAACTCAAAGTTGGATTCTACGTATGAATTTATCTGTAAACACTAAGCCGTTGGCAAAAAAGACTAAACTAGCAACGAAAAAAATAAACAAATAGATCTACATATATATATTTCTATACGAAATTACTATTTACTCACCGTAGGCGGTTGATGGGCGTGGTTAACTTGCCCAACGAAGGCGCCATATTGCACCGTTTGCACTTCGCCTTGCGTGTATCTTCTTTCACCTTTTGTTTTTTGATTTTTTCGATGTCAGTTATCGGTGCATTGAGTAGTTTAATATTTTATTACATGTGCGACAAAAAATATATATACAAAAATATTTAAAAATATATACAAAAATTTAAAAACAATAAAATCACAATAAATTAAAAAGGCACTTAGTTTTTAAGAAGCGTTAAGCACAATATTGTGTGTGAAAAATAAAACATTTATGTAAATACAACTCACCATCTGAGGCACGTAAGATTTCAGGGTGTGCCAACGATTCGGTATTGATTTTACCAATTTTATTTGTTTCATGTTGCAAAAATGTTGCCCTGCAAATAAAGTGTTATTTGGTATAAAGTTTTAACACATTCTCTTATTATTTATACTCACTTTGAAGGCGCTACAGACTCCTCCACCATGGTGGAGCCCTCATCACCCTCGATACCAAAGTGATCTTTGGTTTGTTTCTTCTTCAAAATAATATCAATATAACCAGCTATTAATTGGACAATTTGCTCAGCTTCTGTTGTTTGCACTGAATAATATTGATTGGCATAATCACCGAAATCCAAAGTGAATGTATTCGGTGAAGCGCCCCAACGACGCACAGTTGTCAGGGGCCAAGAAACTAAAATTTCCTTAGTACGTTCATCTAAACGCAGCACAGAATCTTTTGTTACGCCCAAAAGACGTGGCACTAACTTATTGCGCCCATTCATTTTTTCCTTAACCAAGAAGAATGTAACGCCATAAGTAGGCAATTCACGTGCCGTTTTCGTGTACAATACTTTAGCATCGATTTCGGTAAGTGCAACGTGTTTCTTGTGTTCGGCAAATATTTTCTTTTCGATGCCTTTGACACGTACATAGGATTGCGGTAGGAAATCCTTTAAACTGTGGTATGAGAGAAAAACATTTTGTTTTTTATATAGATATTTACATACTAAAGCTTTTTGCAGGCAAATAGACTTACTCTAAAAATCCTGGCTTATGCTTCGCTTCATTGTGTGGGCCGAATTGTATGTGCACTTGTATGCCAGCGAATTCACAAGCTGTGGGGTGTAGAGTGATGTAGGAATAAATATTTTTTTTGGTTATGGCAATATAAACTAATACAACAACACACCTTTCTCCTGCGTTACAGGATGTGTGCCATCAAGTATGGCATCACGCGCTTGCACGTACAACAAATTCAATTGTACCGGATCACGTGAGTCAATATTTTGATCAGAGAAGAAGAAGCGACGACGCAACAAAACTGTTTCCGACTCATCGATGCCCTGCTCGCGTAGAGTCTTGCCAACATCCACCCAATTGACTAGAAGTATAGAAGGAATGAAATATGAGTACATAATTTTCAAAGTAAATATATTTATATATTATATAATTTCAGGTGGAATTAATTTTATTTGAAATTTTCTTCATTTAGAAATATATTTTATTTTTTTTTTTATTTTTTCAATCTTTTTTTAATATTTGTATTATTTATTTACCTGTTTCCTTGCATTATTTATTAATGTAATTGAAATTGTTGTTTATTTTGTATACATTTTTTATTTTATTTTATATTACCATAAATTAATTTAATTTAACTTTATTTTGTTTTATTTCATTTTATTTTAATTATTTTTATTTTTTTTTCTGTATTGTTTTCTATTTTATTTTTTATTTTAATTTTATTTTAGTTATTTTATATTATTTTGTTTTATGTTAATTCATCTTATTCATGTCATTCAATTGCTTTATATCGTATTTATTTTACTTTTTTATTTCATTTACTTTAATTTATCTCATTTTATTATTTTTTATTTTATTTTATTTTATTTTTTACTTCTAGTTAATTTTTTACTTTAATTTTTTTTTTGTTTACTTCAATTTCCTTCACTTAAATTTATTCCATTTTATTTTTTTATTTTAACTTTTTTTTAAATTTTTTTTACTTTAATTTATTTTATTTTATTTTATTTTTTCACTTAATTTTTTGTTTATTTTATTTTACTTAATGTTTTTTTATTTTACTTAATTTTTTTTTATTTTACTTAATTTTTTATTTTATTTTACTCAATTTTTTGTTTTATTTACTTTAATTTATTTTATCTCACCATATCTTTTTTTTTGAATTTTTTTATTTTAATTTTTTTACTTAAATTTAATTTATTTTATTTTTTATGTTATTTTATTTTATTTTATCTTATTTTATATTAATTTTTTTTTTGTTTTATATTATTCTATATTATTTTAATTTATTTAATTTTTTGATTCTCAAATTGTTTTCTTTTTATTTTATTTCAATTTAATTTAATTTATCTTATTTTAATTTAAGTTTAATTTTATTTTATTCGATTTTATTTTAAATAATTTTTTTTTTTAAATTTTTTTTGGTGTTATTCTACTCTAACTTATTTTTTATTTTCGATTATTGAATTTAATTTTTTTACTCACTCTCATCATCGGTCTTCAACTTCCTGCGCAAACTTTCCATTTTCGCGTCACGATCTTTTTCGGTGAATTTCCGACGCAACGTCAATGTACCAAACTTATTATCCGGCAGACTCTCATTTTGCCCCTCGGTATCTTCACGCACCAAACCATATTCCTCATGATTGGTTATACCGATTTTAGTGCAAATGACTACCATTAACTGTGACACGGGTTGAGAATCATCAACGAGTATTGTCTTTACAGCACCATCCAACATACGGACACGTAACGTACGCAGCTTGCGTCGATATTCCAACGTGTCCTGATTGTGGAGGATATAATAGCCGAGCGTGCGGCCGGCTTCCAGCCAAACGCCCTGTTGGTGTTGTTCATCGGATATAAATAGACCATATTCGCTGGCTGTGGTAATGAGAAAGCAGAAAAATAATGAAATAATTGAAAATAAAATCAAACGGAAAATTCAGAGAGACATGGAATTAAATGTGGCGTGTGATGGAAAAGTGCGTGGGTGGCAAGCAAACAAGCATATGTATCTACATATGAACATATTTACCATACCAAGTACACACCAAGGTATGTGTACATATGTATATCTATGTTACTATTTATAGGCAAGTATGCACATATATATATAAATACATATGTATATATGCACTTAGGTATATGTGATTGTACACGTTTTACTTACGTTGTCCCTGCACAGCCTCAGCAAATTTATCCCGGATAATTTTACAGGCATCAAATACTGTCGTATTCGGATGGAATTGTATTGTCTTTGTGACACGTCCACCCTCTAACTGTATACGTAATGATAGTGTTGACATTTTTCCCACTTATCGTTGGTGTTGTCGCTTTTCCTTTTATCTTCCTTTCTTCGGCAGATTTTATGTTGATGTTCAATATAACGTCTAACGATGTTCTGCTTCTTCTTGTTGTTGATGATGACGTTTTTTGCGTTTTTCGATAATAAAATTATATACTTAGTTTTAAAAGGCACTGTAAATAAAAAACATAATTTTTTTATAATAAAAATAAGATAAAGAAATTATTTGTAAAGAGCTTACTGAGTACTGTTAGCATTAAAGCTTCAAACTAAGTATAATTTTAAGAAGGGGTGAGGTGCTAAAATATATTTCTGATGTAATTTCAATTCTATACATTCTTGCTAATCAATCAAAAAACGAACCAAGTACCAAGTTCAGTCAGTCAGTTAAGTCAGTCATCAATTTTATTCTTTTTTTTAAGATCAGCAAGGTAACGAAAGTTCAAGCTCAACGTTTTATGATCAATTAGGAAATTTTTCAAACCCATAATAAAATGAATGGCAGTTTTCGTAAAGATTCATATATATGAATGAGGTATTTGACAATGCCGCGTTCCAGGTATCGATATGAGAAGCATTGTAGGCAAGCGTGTACACGTTTCACATGATTTCGTTGTATTCGAAAAACATTAAGATATATTTTCGTTTGAAAAAAAAATTTCGAAATGGCTGATATTTTAAAAAATATATAAAAATTAAGATAATTTTCGGGGCAATTTTTAAGGATACATCTTTTTACGTAAATATCAAAATTTTTAAATTTATTTCGAAATTAAGAATGTAAAAAAAAATCAAGAATTTGAAAAAAATCAAAAATTTACAAAAACAAAAAAGCACAACAACTACTAATAAACGACCGACTGAATCAACGAAAACGTTATAACCTGGTGAGCTGGCAGCAATAATTCTAATATATCGGATGAACAGCTTATTCGAAAAGGTAAAGAGGACTAAGTTTGCGAGAAATGGAAATGGAATAATAAAAACCCGGTTTAACTGACTTTCACTAGAGCATTAAAGTTCAGTTATATGGAAGGTAGGCTTGCTTGTTGGTGTGTTTTGACAGGTGTTTGTAACTGGCTGACCGTAACTGCCATAACCATTAGGTAAGATCAAGCTTTCTCGATAAATTCTTCAAATATTCGTTTTTTTGTCCACATGCCGGTCAAAAATAGAAAGTCTGTTGAGTGGGATGTAGGGTTTATTTCTGGAGCTATATCAGTCATTTCTACTAAGGATTTAGTCTCTGTTACAAGTAGCATATGTACAAAGTTCTGTTGATTAATGTCTGAAATAGTCCATTTTGAGTCGATTCGGAAGTGGAAACCAAAAAGTTCGTTATATGAGATAAAGGCGAAGTTGTTGCCCGATTGCGACCGTATACAATTCGTTTTCTTACTAGACAGAGAGAATTATAAGTATCAAAATTTATCGACGTTTTGTACTTCGTACAGTGATTTCTGATGTATACTTTCTGACCTAAACGGTTTTGGTATCAAACCCGCCCGAAATTTTATTCCACACCTAATTTTTTTGCAATTGTGCAATTCACAAAACTACTTTTGTTACTGAACTACCGCGATATTCGAACTTTTCAAAATTACTATTTTTAGTCATGGCCTTAAAATTGGCCCGCTTCCAGCCATACTTGTGACATAAGATATGTGTGAATCAAGTTTCATCAAAATATTTAAATTTCGATTTACTTGAGTTGTACACAGACAGATAAATGGATTATTTTATGCCGTTACATACAACCGTTAGCCGACCTAATATACCATCTGTATATGCTCGTAGTACTACCGAGTATAATAATTTTGTTTTCAAAACATTCAAAGCGAATCTTTTATGGATACTTTTAAATGATTTTTAGTAATGCACACCAAATTATGTAATCAAGAGCGATTTATAATGCAGTGTGAACGGCGACTTAATTAAATTAGTATTATTTTTAAGCAATATTTTTAATAAAAGGAAATTATTCATAATAAAACCATTTTATCTTTTCTTAGACTGAGATGTTCGATGAATGGTGATTAATTGGGGCTAATGGCTATTTATTAAAAATCGTAAAAGTAGTTGCAATTATTGTTGATGATCAGCATAAATTATTTCTACTCCTTTTCAAAAGTTTATAAGGATTAATTTTTCAATTAAATTAATGTTTAAATTTATAGTCAGAATTACTGAAGGAGTAAGCTTACATTAGCAACGATTCCGTGGAAAAAGTATATATGTATATTAAGCATAAGAAAAATATTTATAAAAATGGGTTTTCAAAAAGTTCGAAGTCTACATTTCTCATTACATTACTGGTGCACTAGTGGAGAATTAGTTATAAATAAATTAATTTTTATATTATTATTTTTGTAGCTTTTAGAATGCTCCAAAAAGGCATTTTTATTGATTTCCTGTATTAAAGAGATACTAGAAATGTTTCATATTTCACAATGGAGAAATTCATTAAATCCGTGGAGAAAAATCCACCCCAAATTCACACAACAAAGGAAGGAGCAGAGATGGCAGGCAAATAAAAAGATTGTATCTGATTGAAAAAGAAGAAAATAACCCGCCACCACTGATTTTATAGCCTACATTATATTTTAAGGATATATATATATATACATATATATATATATATACGTATGTACGTAAGGATAGGGATGTACGCTTGTAAAGCTTTTTTTCTCAAAGTAAGTAAGTATGTTTATATGAAAATGTATTTTAATAAAAAAAAAAATGTTTGAGTGGAAGTGGCATGGTATGGTGAATCAAAGTAAAAGAAAATCGGGTAAATTTGACTTTGGTATTCTCTACCCTAATTATTGCTGCTGGGATTATACAAATTTGCTATATATGTACGAATTAATGCTGATATCTTCACTTGTTAGTTATTGTTGTATATTTGTATGTATATTTTTATATAGATTTTTTATCAATAATTTTCTTCTTCTTCGTTTTTTTTTTTTTTTTTTTGGCAAATTGCCAGTACGTGTACACCACCCCAGCCATGCCAGACACATTCCCTATCTTGTGGCTGAAATTGAACAACATTTCACTGCAATGCGCTCTCGTTTAATATTTGAACTTACACACTTATTTCAATATGTGTTTGTATGTAATATACTCAATTGCATTAGACAAGTTTCAACCTTCCCACCTCTCGACTTCACTTCATTTGCACACATAACATAGATTCTGCCGTTGATGTGTATGGCGACACAGTTGGTTTACCTACATACATACATATGTACATACATATTTTCTAATTCGATAACTTTTTCCGGTTCAACCTGGAAGTGGTAATGGAACTCCTGAGAATTTTCTAACACAAAAAAAAAGCGAAAAGAAGAAGATAAAAAAGACGCTACACGTATCAACACAGCACTGGGGCACACCTAGTCAATATAATCGAGTTATGTAGATACGCTATGTGTGTGTGCATGTACGTTTGTATGTAATTAAAAGGACATAACAGCAATCTGTTCGGTAGGCTGTTAAATTCACAAAAAGCTGATAAGCTCTGATTGTATAAGTAAATACATACATACAAAATACATATATAAATGAATATGTTCATATGTTTAAGGGCAGGCTTTAAAAGTTGAATAAAATGCTAGCAAACATACACATATATACATATATATTTTAATTATATATTAGAGCAACATTTTGCTTGTCTACTTTCCTAGCCCAGCCCATGAGCGCTCAAAGCAAGTCAAAGTGAAGTGTATTTTTGCTAAATTCATACATATGTACATACATACATATATGTATGAGCAAACCTTTCTACATACATATACAATATGTATGCACATGTGTAAGTAACACAAATTACACAAAACGAGATTGAAAGAATGGAAAGCATAAAACAAAATCGATATCCCTCGGTCATTTGAATTAAAAAGGGGTGGAGAATGAAGAAGAAATGAGAATAAAATGTTAAACTATATACGTGTATGTATGTATGTTATATGTAATATATTTTCATACACAAAAGGCGTACAAATTTCACTTCAAGCTTTTTCATTAATTATACTTTTTCAAAGCGAAAAAAACACGTCCAAAGTTAAGAAAAATCACCAAAACTAAACTAAACTAAAAGAAAATGTAAAAAAAAAATAGCCGTAAGGCAAACATTTTCATACAAAACAATTCTTAAAGTGTATAGAATTTGCATAATTTTTTACTTTTCCCATTTTCCAACAACATTTTCAGCGTTTGTTTCGTTAAGTTAATTTTTTGAAGGCAAACTATTGAACCGCTCCCACTTTTTTCACACACACACACAAATTCATTTATAGCTTCCTTTGGTACTCTTTTAAGGCATCAGCTTTAAGCACACTCTTTTTAGTTTAAAAAAAATATATATATTTTTTTGTTGTTTTTTTAACGCCAGCGAATCAATTCCGACGCAGTCGAAACAACCGACACGACCTTTTGTCACCAAAATCTACACAAGAACTGAAAATCACGCACGATGGTAAAATAAATGTATGTGGTGCTGGCTGCTCCTCTGCATCTCCTGGAAAACAGACTTTATACCACACATACACATATGTATGTACATACACAGTATACAAAGCGGCTTCTTTCGCTTCAGGGGGATGATGGATGCTGTGTGCGTTTGTTTGTCCAAAAAGCAAACTGGAACAATATACAAGTACTAGTATACTATTATAGAGTAAGTGCCACATGACAGTAGGGTGGCTATTTGTCAGCCCCCCCCACACACTTAGACTGAGTGGAATATATGCGTTTTCCCACTTTCCCACTGACACTGTGTAGTAGGGTACAATATGGTAATGAAACTAATGAAACTACCCCTGGAGAGTTTTGTAGAGATTTTTCTTTAACAGTAAAATGTGTGTGTATTTACATATATGGTATAACAGCGCTGTTACGATTTGTTGTTTTACATGTGGAGACGAGCTGACTAGTGGGCATGCGGCGAATATTTGAAGGCATCTACGGAAAAATCTAATGTGCGCATGTGCAGAGCTCGTAGCAAGAAAATAAAAGTACTTAGAAATTGCTATGAAGATGGAAAATAAGTATGAGTATAACAGAAAGAAGAAGTTTAAATTAAAAAAAGGAAAATATTAAGAAAAAAAAACAAATTTTAAGAAAAATATTAAATAATCGTCAAACACATATAAAAGGGTGCTTTTTT